AAAACGTAGAAAGTTTCTTTCCCTAGTAGAGTGCTACAAGATAGTATTTGAACTTAATGGCGGCATAATATTCAGCGAAGTTTTAGAATATAGACACTCCAAGAGGACAAGATCTAACCACCAATACACCTTATATCCTAAACTACCCAAAATTAATTGTTACAAATACTCACTATTTGTAAGGATTATCAGTGACTGGAACAGTTTACCATGCTCGGTTGTAGAAGTAAATAACATTAGAGAATTTAAAAGAGAACTGAAGTCGAACATGGACATGTACTTGTAATTTAACATTTAGGTATTTTAACTTAGTAATAGGTAAAGGTGATCTTTATATAGGGTTAACCTCCAGATCTCCTGCAAGGGCCTCAATATTATTGTAGGTACTTTGAATAAATTATTGATTGATTGGGTCTCTGAACTACCAATTTCACCGAACGGTCAAGTTTCTCTGCAAAGATCGCCCCTTTGCCCAATTTTCCTCGAGTAGATCATCGTGTTTTAAAGTCAAGGATTATGTATACTTTAACATAAAAGAATAAAAAAAGTGGTGATAAAGGGTAGATTTTGAATAAAATACGAATATCTGTGTACAAGATCTGAGCGTTATTATGAAGCACTCGATACTTTTTCCAACAACATATTGGGCTTAATTTTTTACAAAATTAAATATTCACACATTAAAGATATGAAAATGTAGCTTGCATTACAAAGAAATGTTGGCTTACCTAAGTTATACCTTACACGTCGATTAAAGTCAAGTAAAGCCCTTTCAAAGACGCGTGCCACATTAAACTACAGGTCACATGACGGTAGAGAACTCGACGAAGTATTCAGGATATTTCATAGCCAGTTTAAACGAGGTAACAAAATTTACCACTTTGTTCGGCTGTTCCAAGTACACTTTTAAGATACAAGGTCCGATTATATCATGTTCCTCGAAGTATCTGCTCAAAACAGTCCAACATAAATATCACCACTCATCTTCTTCGTATGAAAATATAAGTTTTCCTTTCAATTGCTTTGCTTTAAAAACAGTCATTAGGTTGTTGAAGAGTTAGGCTAGAACCTCCAACAATAAAAACCCATATGCTTTCAAAAACCAGTGAATCACAATGCTGTAAATTTCAACACCCTTAGAAATTGTAACCCAAACATCGAAAAGCAAAATTCGCGGGAAAAAGCTCACGAGCCCGCACTATTTTTATGCAGCGTCGACGAAAGTCCACCCTGTTTTGATCTCGACAATACATTAAATAATATAATTAATACAATATATTAAATATAGGAAAAAGTTTTTATGCCACATTCCACAATAATCAATTGTCATATTTGCTTTTGAATGTGGTTCATGTGGCGTGCTCCATGGTTGAGAGCCATGATCTATTGGAGGACAGAAAAATAGTTGACGCCATTCAAAAGACGTAATAGATGAATATAACATAAAACTAATTCAGACAACATGCATCAGGAGTCCGATCCCAAGGTACATTTACAGATGCCAAAAAAGGGCACTCGGAGGGCACTACTATAGGGGGTCTTGGGGCGTCAGATCATGCAGGTGTCTCAGATTGGCTAAAAATGTATTTGCCATGCTATTTAGTGGATACTGAATTATACACTATTGCATTATTAAGATGGACTTACTTATAATTGCATTTCTGAGGTCATAACATTCTTTCTATCGGTTAGAATTCTTCCTCTGAATTTCTCCTTTTATCTAAATTATTACAATTAATCTTTTTGCTTTCTTGGGGAAATATTTTCTGGGAGCTCAGTTTTCTGGGACCAATGGTCCAATACTTTTTCTACCCCAGTCATACTGTGTATATGTATAGGTGAACAAACGTCATCTACAGTATCTGTTACATGGAACACGCGGGAAGTTGGAAATAACACAAAGAACGTAATACCAGACTACAACTTTAACATTTGTCTATAATACGTCTATCAGTAAGGCTACAAAATATTTCATACATAAAAATGATAAAATTTCTCGACTCGCTTGCACGCACGTCTGATGGGAGCTTTAATCTTCAAAATGACGGTTGATATGGCTTCTCCGTTGCTCCAAATCACAATTTTTCTCAAAAATTTTGTTGCACATCGGGCACATATCGTTATTGGTTGCACCTTGTTCCTGTATAGATGTATCATTGACTATACCTCGAGGGAACGTTCCTGGTGAATCAGTTTCGTATCGTTCGCATGTCTTTCTCCTATCACTTATACTTACGCTTGATATTTGGTGAAGTTCTTGCTGTAGTGACTTGGGTTCCCGGTTTATTGGAACCTTGGTTTCTGTCTGCAATGATGAAAATGATGCGGGAAAGTGATTAGCGGCAATCTTAGCATGTTCAAAGGCTGAACGTTCCCCAGAAGGCACAACTATATAACCCTCGAACTCTTCCAGCGTTTGATCGCCAATTTCACTTGAGATTTGTACGGCACCTGAAGGATGCCGGGTTTTATTGCCAGGAAGACTACCAGTATTTCCAGAAGCAGTATTTGAACAATTATCGGATGACTTATCATTGACTTGGTGTCCAGGATTTTTCGTCTTCTTTTTCGACTTATTTTTCCTACCAGTGACAGAATTTTGTTCACAACCAGAGGTACCAGAATGACTTGCTCTACCTACAACTGGTAATTTGTTTATAGGCGTGGAAACATTAGCGATTGCAGTTTTATTTTTATCGTCTTTAGATATTTGAGATTTTCTATACTCGTCCAGTGCTTCCACGAGCATAGCAATCCACGAGTTCTGATTACAAATGGTTTTCTTCAGTTCGACAACAAAATCTGACATTTCCGACAAGCCACTGACTATTTTTTCAAGAGCTTTTGTTTCCACTAAGATGGTTCCTTTATCTCCTTGTTCTGGAAGGTAAGATATCATGTCATTTCAAAATTTCACGGTACATTATTTTCCAAGATTAAATCACTGACCTCAAAAAAGGACCGGATAGTGCATCTGGAATGCATATATGAAGCCAATGGCGGCCATATTGGAATAACTCATAAACCCACAGAAATTTAGTGTGGTGTCGGCGTAGGAAGTGGGGTGACCGGGGAGGGGCGTAAAGGGGAAACCTATCTAAATCTTAACCCTTTAACCTAAAGCTAATGCCAATTTAAAATTGTGGACCAAACTTATCGTGACGTTATTTCGGGGCATTTAAATTTGAAAATTAAAAAATTCAAGTTACAAAGTACATAAGGTCTAGGAACCACATACTTTGACTTCCTTTATTCAAGTTCAAGCACTCTTCAGATTTCTTCTGAAGCATATCTGTTGTTTTTGTCAATTCGTCTCGCTGTTTTTCCGAATAGTCTTTGAGCGATAGCAAGGCTTGTTGTAGGAAAGCATTTTCGTGTTCAAGTTCAGCCACTTTCTTGCTGTTGGCAGCTCTACTAGTAGTTGAACAGTCATCTCTATACCCAGCCAGTTGTTTGACCTTTTTGTAGTCCAATATGTTTATTTCAAAATTGCCATTTACTATAAGAAGCGACAAGCCAACATTGGCAAGAGATATTTTAACAGCTTCCTCAAAAACCTGTCTTTGAAAAGTTAGTTGGTTTATTTGATCTTGTAGAAATTCAGCCTTTACCTAAACAAAAGATTATGAAAATTACCATTAGGCATGCAATATACTGGGTTGCCCTGTTTGATTAATTGTAACTTAAAAACTAAAAGATCGATTACACCTAAACTGCGTGCATTGCATTCAGTATTGACTACCGTTTAACTTTTGATATAATACCTGTGCATTTTCATGCAATATTGACCGAGAGAGCTGCGTTTAAAGTGCACCTAACCTCATTCCTAAGAACCTTTGAAATTATATTGTAACTTATTTTGAAGATTTTTGTTTGCACACTTTGTCTTTGAGTTATTTCAGTTTTATTAATATGCGAATGTCCAGAATTTACGTCACATATGATCAAATTATGTAACAAGGTACAGTTAAATATCCTGAAATAAAAAGGCTAAATGGTGTTTTACATAGGTATGTAAACCTCCCACAACTCCAAATTTCATTTTAATGAATTAAACTCGATAGTGAATACGATATACAAGCTTTTACTTTAAATCATTATGCATTTGTGACGTAAATTCCGTATATTTGCTGCATACCAAACAAACTGATTTAAATATCTCAGAAACAAAGTGAGCAAACGAAAATCTTCAAAATAAGTTATTATATCATTTCAGAAGTTCTTAAGAATGAGAAGATAAAAATAATTGAGGTTATAGGTACACTTTAAACTTGAGTAAACGTTTTGGGAAGTGTCGAGAATTAGCTAAAAACGGTCTGTTAAACTAATTTGATAACTGTCACCATTTTATCGTAAGTTTAAATTAAAAATGTTCATTTGATGAAGTAAAAGATCAAATCCATCATGGATTGCTCTTTTACTTTTGTTTTAAGTAAGGTATTTGGGAAAGCATGAAAATTAACTTATGAAGCGGTTTTGATTAAAAGATTTATTCTAAATATTCAATGACCCTGGAGAACCAAATTCTAATGATTTTTTTTTTCTGTGTTGGTGTTATGTACTCAGCCTCAGGTGAATATAATGTTCGTGGTGTTATAATATATGAATGAATTAGAATACGATGTTCGTGGTGAGTGTATATCCACAGCGGGCAAGCTTGAAAAATATGCCTCCTGCAAGCTAGGCCACGGTGGGAATCGAACCTACGACCTTGGAATACTAGCCAAATGATCTAGCAACTGAGATACGCGGCCAGGTCGGTTCGAGTATGTGATATTTCGGAACCAAGTCTAGTTCCTTCGATATCAATGCAATCTAGTAATCATAATTTTCTGTGTTGGTGTTATGTACTCAGGTGAATATGATGTTTGTGGTGTTACTCCGAGTGTATATCCATACCGGGCAAGCAAACCTATACGCAGTGCATTTTTTAAGGATTCTTCAGTGGTGGGGCAAAACTGCCAAAGGGCCCATTTTCCTTGCCCTCCCCCAGCATAGTATGCGATCGCCGAAGGTGTGAGCAGAGTACGGCAGGCACGAGTTAGCTGGGGGGGGGGTTGAAGCTGGGGGCATGCCTTCCCCAAGAAAATTTTTAAAATTTGGGTCTCTGAAATAGCATTTCCTGCACTCTGAGGAAACAAAGTTTTAATGGTGAAATTTGTAATAAATTGCATGCTAAACATTCAAACATAACATATAAAGTTTAAGTATGCTCACCAACAAATTTTGTTTTTTAATTAAACTTCTTTTCAATGTTAAACTCATTTACTCAATACAGGTCCTAGGGCCCTGGCTTTGGGGCAATTTTTCATTTTTTTTTCTTCAGTGGTAGGGCAGAAGAAGGGGTCCAGTGGGCCATGGTATTAAAAAATGCCTTGCCTATACGACCTTTGGAATACTAGCCCAATGCTCTGCCAACTGAGCTACGCGGTCAGGTCGGTTCGAGTATATGTGATATTTCGGAACTGAGTTGGCAGAGCATTGCGCTAGTATTCCAAAGGTCGTAGGTTCCATTCCCACCGTGACCAGGCATATTTTTCAAGCTTGCCCGGTGTGGATATACACTCAGAGTAACACCACAAACATCAAATTCTAATGTTCCAAGAAAGAAATGTCGCGTTTTTTTTTTTATAAATACGACTCCTTTTAACGAAGGACCAAAGAGTTTCGATTTGTTTAGAATAAGATACGCGGATACTTAAACTACTTAGGCTACGCAGTGAATTAAATTAAAAATATGGTAAAGACTAAGACAGACGTTTATAGTATTTATTGGATACGCGGATACTTGGCTACGAAGTGAGTTAAATTGAAAATGACGTAATGATAAGATAGATGTAGCCTAGTATTTATTGGATACGCGGATACTTGGCTACGATGTGAGTTAAATCACGGTTAAATTGAAAATGACGTAATGATAAGTT